CCAGCAGCAGCCCACCCCTCTTGTGACAATGACAAAAGTGTCCAGATAAAATATGTACAATTATTATGTGCCAGTTAAAGGTAAGATACTGAGAAGACTTCTCAAGACATTGCGAGGGCACAGTTGCTTCTGGGTGAAAGGCAGTGATGCAGAGAATCCAGAGGGTCAGAAAGTACTGTGTCCGTTTCTTTCTTCCATCAGTATAATCGGAAATGCCACAGAGAGTTCCACACCTGATTTAAGTGTGGCCCTAGCAAGTATACAGTGTGGTCGGCAGTGGCGAGAGACAGCATCGTTACCCTGGCACTCACTCGGCGAGTGCTTGCTCAGGAAATCGCACATGTGAATTCATTAGTCTTCCGGCAACTCCAAGGAATCGGCGCTGCCATCATTCTGCCCACCCTGCATTTGAGGAACTGACCCTTGGAGATGCTGAGGAGCCTACCTGAGGTTACCTAGCTCATGGTAGTCATTGGCAGCACAAGTCCACTGCCCCAGGGCTCATAAATGCATGACCTCTTTGTCCAACTGTCCTTCCTACAATGTGTGTACTTCATTGTCCTTCGTGAGAACAGCAGAGTACTGAGCACAGAGCAGCTTCTCGTCAAACCTGTATCGTCCCTGTTGGCCTTTGTGTTCACTGCTGCCAGCCCTCTGCACGGCATGCCCTCCTGCTTCAAGGGGCTCGCTGCTCAAGCCTCCCTCCCTCGGTCTCTTCCACATCTGTAAAACAGCACACTCCTCCACTCCTTAGCTCTTCCCTTGCCTTAGTCTTCCTCAGTGTACTTAGCCTCCGACCAGCAGCCCCAACAGACAGAAATGTGTCCTGAATGAAAGGAGGGACTTTTGCCTGCTGTGTTTGCTGCTGCAACCACAACACATAGAATATTCCTTGGCATTCAGCAGATGCCCACGAAGGTTGTAGAATGAATGAAGACACACTTTCCCTGGATATTGTATCTGGACTCTGATTATTGGTTCCTACTTCCTCAGTACTGTGCTTGAAATCGACTCTTTCTCTAAATGACCTGAGATGTTTATGCAGAAGAGGAGCCCGGTCCTCAACAAAAGGGTCAGCTTATTGAGGATCCCTGGCCAACGCCCATCAGAGGTTTATGGTGAACTGGCCAATGTCGCTCGTGCACGTCTGCCTTGAAATTTTTGTTTTGTTGGTCTGTGAAAGGAACTCAGTAGACTTCACGATAATATCCAGAGTCTGTGAAAATAATTTTTGCACAGGCTTGAGATAAACTATTTTAAAAAAATAGTTTGCAAGAAAATACAAGGTCAGATTTTTGTGCAGAAGTTATCAGAAGCAGATTCTACCTTTCCAGACCTCTGTGCATCACATCACTACTTATACGTTGAAAAAGAATATAGATTTAATTTGAATGTATTAAAAACGTAGGAATCAAACTCATACAGGAAACGAAGCCACATAGTAATTAGAGATAGAAATACTGTTAAATTACAGTAAAAGTCCCTTTGCTTCAAAACCACGTCCTTCTCACTCCCTGCAAAATTATTCTGAAAATTTGATCTCGTAAATGATAGAGCTTGGGACTGATGCCCAGTTTGGCTCTTTGGAAAGTCAGGGGTTGTTGTCCTGCAGTCAGCCGTTTCAGGACATTGTGTTTACAACTGAGAGAGCTCATTTCCTAAACCCGGAAAATTGGCCCTAGGAAATGTCGAGCCGATTCATCCCTCATCTTGGCTTATACTCATTCTTAGGGCCTGTGCAGCAAGTAAACTGAGGAGGCAAAGAAATGTCTCTTGATTTCTGCCTTGGGGATAGAACAAATAAACAAAATTGGAAAGGATACATAGCAGAATTTCATCATCTATGCTGATCACCAGTTTTCAGTTCCACAAACTCCCATGTGACATGACCCAGTGTGCCGCCCCTCTCATGTCTGAGCTCCAGTGCCAGCACCCGAGGACATCAGTAAGAGGCTGTTCCATTGTTCACTCAAGTCTCTTTCAACACTGGCTCAGGTTTTAAAAGAGGCTGTAGAGCATAATTGTATACAACACAGTCTTATGTCATATAAAAATGCCACAGTTGTATTATTATTTTGCATATTCTTTAAACTTGGTGTGGATAAGAAGCTACCCACAAACCAAAATGCATTTGGACCACAGCTGTCCAACAGAACTTTTGTAGTGATGGAAATGATCTGTATTTCTCATTTCACACAATTGGACCCTTGACATGTGGCTATGTGACTGAGGAACTGAATTTCTAATTTTAATAAATTTAAAGCTAAACAATTAGTGGCGGCTACTGACTACTTTATTGGAGAGCACAGACAGACCTTCCTTCTAGAATAAGGCTCCTAGATGTCAAGCCTCACTGGACTTCTAAGACTTGGGACATAGGAAGTTTAAAGCTGTGCTGAGTGGATCCTGAGCCTTCCGTGTGGCTGATCTCTTTTCTTGTTTCAGGATGTCACGATCCTTTAGGAGGACTAGAAATTGCTTTGTACTTTGTACTCTGCTCTACGCATTACATGAAAGTTGCTAAGGTTAAAATGACTCAGCAGAAGGTGGACACCGAGAGGGAAAATTGGAGATGGTCAATCCCTTAGAGTCTGTTCCCTCTCTGGCCTGTTTCTTTCTGTTTCCAGCATCATCTGCCGCTATGACCTTATGTTCAGTTGTGGGGGAAACCTATCTTTACATTGCTTTGGAAGGTTTATAGAGGTAGGCATTTGCCCAGGAATCCCCACAGTGGAATTCCTACACTCCAGGAATTCCTACCGTGGCTGGGTTTGGATATTGGAATAAATTTGCTCTTTTAAAATTACTATGGAAACTGAAAGTGTAAATAAGGACCAAAACGTATAATAGATATTGTGAAATAGGAAGAAATTGTTCAAAAGGAAAGGGGAACTAGGGAGGAGGAGAGGGAAGGGAAGGAAGGGGAAAGCAAAAAAGAAGGATAAAATGGAAACAAAGCATTATAAATGAGGAGGAGGAGAGAGGTTGAAGGGAGGAGAGGGAATGGGAAAAAAGGAAATCAGATACATCATGTACAGCTACGAATTCCCTAGGATGAATGTGATCGTTATGTATATCTAAATCCCACCAGTAAAACGAATGAAAAATAAAATGACTATGAATTAACTTCAACCGGCCCAGCTGGGACGATTCTGATCCGACATCCAGGGAAGTTTATGAAGTGAGAAACACCACAAGGGGGAAACGAAAGGAATGAAGAAGTGGCAGAATCACTCAGGTTTAGATATAAAGCAGGACGTTAAAAAGAGCCAAGACTCAGAGGTCCACGGGGTTCCAGACACGCGTCCACCTCTACCCTGCTGTTGAACACGGAGGACAGTGGTGATACGGGAGTGAAGCAGGTGACAGGCGACAGCACACACGAGCGCGGCGTGTGCTAAAAGTCACCTCCCTGGGAGCGCGGTGTAAACGGTGCTGGGGCCCAGTGTGGGTGTCCAGGGCCAGGCTGGAAGCATGATGAACGCCCAGAATCCCTGCCCCTCCCTGGGAGATTCCAACCCCAGCAGATTTGAGGTGAGGCCTGGCAACGTGCATTTGTAGCATGCACCTCTGATGCACGGGTAGATCTGGACATCTGTGAAGCCTGGGAGGAATGACTTCTTATTAGGGGAAGGTGAGTATTACAACAGGGGTCCTCTGGCTTAGGGATTAGAGTACAAGTGTTATTGCCCAGGTCCACAGATGGTGCATATGGCATTGTTACAACTTAGGCCTCACATTAAAAGAAAAAAGGCTTACTTGCTGGTTGTCTACTTCCTGCCCAATCCTCCCCCACCCCCCGTACCAAGAATCAAACTCAGGACCTTGCATTTGGCAGGCAGGTGCGGCACTACCGAGTTACACCCCTGGGCCTTTCTGCCCAGTCTTTCTTTTTTTTTTTT